TGATGAACAATGAAATCTAAAATATATAATTCCTCAAAAAAATATCAGACATATATACTAAATATACATTAGACATGAAAGAGATCAAACATAAGACCTAATTCTATGCAATTCACAAAATAAAAGAGAGATAGAGATAGAGAGAGAGAGAGAGAGAGAGAGAGAGAGAGAAAATAACTACCATGCCATGGTGTTTAAGTGAAAGTGTAGAACTGAAAATAAATAGATCGCTACAACGAAACCCCAAGAATGAGCCAACATGAAAATTTATGACTTCTAGTATGGCTAAAAAGATCAAGACAACACATAGAGAATAATAAAACACAAGACCAAAAAAAATCTCACTAAAAAATCTTATATATAATCAAAGCTTTAAAAAATGAAACTGAGAACAAATTACTAGAACGGTATTCTTGATATTTCTCACGAGAGATAAAAAAAAAAGATCAAAGAAAACATCAATGGATTAAATGGAAAAAATGCAAAAGTTCAATCTTAGAACTTACGAGATACCGATCATTAAAAAAAAAAAAAGGTTGTCTCACTTTTTGAGATTGTAAAATAGCTGATGTGTTGGACTGTGAAGTTTAGCCAATGTTATATAGGAGAGATATAGCTGTTGAATGCTGTCATGTCTTACGTGACATTTTCCTATATGGAAATTCTCAACAATTAAATTTGTTTCCATTGGAGAAATAGTTCCATCCATAAATTTATGAAAACATTATAAATATTTAAAATTGAGTTCTCTAATTTTAGAAAATTTTGAAATACCTTTTCTAATAATAATAAGAATTTGATAAACAATTAATTTTTATGCATAAATGAAGAAAAAATATTTATAAATACGCACTTATATTTTTTATATTTGTACTTTCTCCCGTGTTTCGTATCCTACGATTATTGTCCTCCTTTCCCGTTTCCATGAAACTTGGACTAGCATTCCTCAATTGCTTTGACCCTTTCAATCACTTTTCTAGCGATTCTAGCAATTAAACATAAATGAAAAGCACGTGGATCTTAAATGCAAGGAATAACCTAAGGTTCCTACTTAATGTTATTTCAATTATGAAACTAGACTAGCTCCAGGACTACTCCAGAAAGAATAAATAAAATAAAATAGAAAGCAATAAAGGAACCGTGCAACAGGAAATGTTCACGCAGTTCGGAGCCTCACTCCTACGTCTGCGGGGCCACTCACATCAACCCTAATCCATTATAATAAACAGGAGTACAAATAGAGAACTTAATTACAGACTATTGTATAACCTATAACTACTCCAGAACCTATTCCAGGGGATTCGATGTGCATGCGATCTTCTTCGCTTCATGATCTCGTTAGGACACTGATAAACATTATTTTTAATGTTATTTTTAATAATCTTTTTATAGTTAATTTACAATAATCGATTAATTTTATATCTATTTTATTTATTATTGTTATAAGTAGCTTTATTAATATTATTCTAGTTTAGGATTGTTTTTATCTACTATTTGAATTCTGATAATAATAACGGGTTTGATTATATTGATATTTGAGCCTAAGGATTATGTTATTGAATATTGTTTGTTGGCCCTTTTATTTAATTAACCTAGTCTTCCTAGTAGTAAAAGAACAGATCCCCTTTCAATATTTTGACGATGGGAGTGGTCTAGTTTGTTGCTCAAATTATGGACGACCAATTCAAGTCTTCCCTTACGGTCCTAAGGTTCAGTATTCCGTTGCAGTCAAGGGAGGTTTCTACGGCAATCTTTTGAGGAGAAGCAGTATAAAAGAGAAGCATCTTCTTCACCAATGGGATCATCAATCGTCCCGGACCAATTCCGGTGGCGGTGAACAAAGACTCTTCGATTGGCGGTAGAGATTCCGGGCAGCGACTTGTCCGGCGCAAGCAGCTCTCGGCGGTGCGCAGCAATAGCATCTTCTGGTTCAATCAGCTTAGTTTTTCATTAATCTTTTCAATTTGCTTAGTAAATTGCGCTGTTGATTTTGAGGATTGCTAGTAGAGCTTTTTGGTTTGGCAACAAAGTCTTTGAATTTATTTAGATATATAGATAATTGTTTGGCAGTAACAATTGCACACGCCATCTCCTTATCCCTTCATTCCTTTTATTTACTCTATCTTATTTACTCTATCAAGATCAAATGTGCTGATTTAATTGGTGTTAAGTTCATGTTTTTAGACCTTTTTAATTCGATTGTTAGTTAATATTCTGGTTCGTGGTAATTTACTTATTCACCTTCTTAAGTTTTGATTCAATTATTCATTTGGTTAGCTTTCAGAATTTTAATTATTTGACATTTGATTCCTAACTAGCTTTGAACTTTTTAATTGTTTAATTAATTATTTTAATTTCAAGTTATTAAATTGTTCATTTGGTTAATGTTTCTCGAATTTATTTGATGTCTTGCTATTTCATCTTGAGGTTATTCAATTATTTTTTTCAGTCGTTATTTTCTTCTTGATAATTTAATTTAGTTCATCCATTCTGATTATCAATTATGTTTCCTTGACTTCAGATTATTATTAAGTGTTCTCATTCAATTTAATTTCACTGCAATTCAAACTTTATTCTCTTTCCACTCTTTTTAACTAATTAAATTGCATCGTATCAATTCCCTGAGGGATCGACCCTTGCTTAAAGCACGCTATAACTACAATCGACTCGTGCACTTGCGAGGACATATATTAAAATTGTCTAACAATTTTTGGCGCCGTTGCCGGGGAATTGTTTATTTTGCAATTTAATTTTTTTTGCTTTTTTTTTTTCGTTGATTGCTTGATTTTTTTTCCCGTCATTATTGTCTTCTCTTCATTTTTAATCATGAATTTTATTTAATTCATTCGTCCATTTAAAAATTGCTTTATACTTGTTTTTACTTTCACTATTCTCTTTATTTTTCCCATTCCTTAACTGCTTGATTCTTTAATTCTATCACATTATTATTATTGTCGTTTGATTATCCTTTTTAATATTGCTATTTATTCAAGTCATTAGTCCAGTTAAAAACTGCTTACTATTTCTTTTTGCTTTCCCTATTCTCGTTGTTTATTTTTTTCCCTATCTTAATTTCTTTTCCCATACTTTTGTTTGCTATATTTTTTTCTCTTCCAATTTAATTCTTTCGCTTCCTGAATTTCAAATAATTTGCATTTGAATTGATCCTACTCAAGTTTATTTTTTTCCCCTCTTAATATTACCTTCAAAACAAAAGAAGTACTTAATAATTGTTTAATATTCTCCATTTCACTTTTTATTGATTATCCTATATATTTATTTGTTTACTTAATTGTTTGATTTTATTTACTTCTTTGTGTATTTATTTTTGTTATTTTGTTTATTTATTTGATGGAGGGTCGTCGTTCTTTATATCCTAAACTGTTGCCTTTAGACGATCATATTGATAGGACAAAGAAAGAAATATTACTTTTTGAAAACCCCATTTTTGAACCGCAAGAAATATTACTTTTTGAAAACCCAATTTTTGAACCGCAAGAAATATTACTTTTTGAAAACCCAATTTTTGAACCGCAAGAAACAACTACAACCATAAATGCACTTCCTCCACCCTATTGGGATAATAATAATCAAAATGATTTTCAACCAATTGACCCACCCCATCCTGAAAAACCATCTTTGGAGGATACTTTACAGGAATTCATACAGGGTTGCAATATCCAAGAAAATGAGGCTTGCTTTAAAAGAATCGAAGCACATTTAGAGAAAATTGCTAAATTTGTGCAAGAGCATGTGCCAGGTAAGTTACCTAGTTAACTTGAAGAGGCTAAGACTAGTGATATCAATGAAAACAAGTCAGGAGATAATATCATTTCTAAACAAGCTGAAATAATTGAAAAATTGCATAATAATGATGCTGATATTATTGTCGAAAATGATGAGCCTCAATTGCATAAATCTGATACTCCTTATCTGCCTCCCATGCATTATGTGCCCCCAATCCCTTTTCCTGTTGATGAAAGCTTTGAAAACACCAAACCGATGCAAAATGAATATTTTGAGGTAGACGAGCCTTATGTACAACCCAAGCCTTATGTGCCCCCAGTTCCTTTTCCAAATAAGCTCAAAAGTTGTGTGCCTGAAACGGTAGGTACAGAGCTACAAAAAGAATTGCCCCCAATCTCTTTTGATGCTCAAGTTGGCAAATTGACCAAAAATGTGTTTGTTGACACTGCTGAGTTTTCAATTTTTCCATCTATGAATCTGTCTGATAGATCTAACCATATTTTTGCAATTACGGGGTTGACTTTTGCTGATGATGGTAAGTTGGTGTTTGATAAACTCCTAAAGGAAAATCTTTTGAATGACGTTGATAAATCAGTTTCTTCTTGTTATTCTAAAATTGCAGGGCTAAATAAAAATTACACAAAAGAAAAAATGAATAAGCGAGGGCTTTCTTTGTCTTCTTTTCTTCCTTCTCACAACATTGGGGACAATGTTGAAAATAAGTGTGGGGAAGAAGTTTTACCCACAAATCATCCCACAAATCACAAAAAATATAAAAAATTCAAAATTTTTAATTTTCTTATGTTTATTTTCTTAAACCTTTTCATTTTAAAATTCTAACATTAGTTTGAGCTTTACCCTTATAAGTTTTTTTTTTAAATATTCGCTGATAGAAATAATGCATATTTTTGTCGACTCTTAGTGTATATATTGCTTTTGACTAGTTGTTAATTTCTCTAATTTTATATCTTTGTCAAAAAAACAAAAAACAAAAAAAAAAAAAAAAACAAAAAAAAAACAAAAAAAATCATAAATAGAATTTGAAAATCACAAATACCCTTATGTGTTCTATACAATTTCTTTAGTAGTTTATATGCATCTTTCACTTTATTTTACCTTTTTCAAATTCTTAAACAATTTTTGAGTGCTATAAATTGTGGTATATTGTGTTGGTTCAAGGATCATCTTTATGACATTAGTGAAGTAAAAAAAAAAAAGATTAAATAAATAATTATTTTAAAAAAATAATAAACGAGACTGTTTTATTTATTTATATTTATTTATTTTGTTTGCAATAAATAAGAGATTCTACTCCGCTGAATCAGCCACATACACACATGTATAATAAATAGATCAATAAGTGTTGTGGTCTGATTTATGAGTACACACAAAATTGAAAACCCAAACAAGTCTGGCGTAAAATGGCGAGGTTTTTGGGGAAGTTCTCTTTGGAAAAAGTCAAAATAGAAAAATAATGAGTGAACTTTAGAAGAGACGAGCAATTGCATTTCAATTTTAATAAATGTCTTAATCCTGATTTCTTATATTTTGCACCTGCATTGTGATAGAATATTTTTGAATTTGGTTTAGGTTGAATTTGGTGAAATTTTCATAATTTTCTATTGAGTTTTCGTATAGTTCATATAAGGGGTGTCAGCACACGAGCACACGTTTTATATTTATTTTAGTTGTTAAAGTTTTTAATTTCTAGTCAAATGTTTTATACATTCTTTGAGTTGGCACTAACTTTGCATTGGTGGCAATAAATTTGGAAGTCTATTTGGGTAAAGCTCGATCTTATGTTGATTTTATTTTAATTTGTTTTCTTTTTAATAATGCGGACAAGCAAATAAATAAGTGTGGGGAAATTTGATAAAAATTATTTTTAGTGTTATTTTTAATAATCTTTTTATAGTTAATTTACAATAATCGATTAATTTTATATCTATTTTATTTATTATTGTTATAAGTAGCTTTATTAATATTATTCTAGTTTAGGATTGTTTTTATCTACTATTTGAATTCTGATAATAATAACAGGCTTGATTATATTGATATTTGAGCCTAAGGATTATGTTATTGAATATTGTTTGTTGGCCCTTTTATTTAATTAACCTAGTCTTCCTAGTAGTAAAAGAACATATCCCCTTTCAATATTTTGACGATGGGAGTGGTCTAGTTTGTTGCTCAAATTACGGACGACCAATTCAAGTCTTCCCTTACGGTCCTAAGGTTCAGTATTCCGTTGCAGTCAAGGGAGGTTTCTACGGCAATCTTTTGAGGAGAAGCAGTATAAAAGAGAAGCATCTTCTTCACCAATGGGATCATCAATCGTCCCGGACCAATTCCGGTGGCGGTGAACAAAGACTCTTCGATTGGCGGTAGAGATTCCGGGCAGCGACTTGTCCGGCGCAAGCAGCTCTCGGCGGTGCGCATCAATAGCATCTTCTGGTTCAATCAGCTTAGTTTTTCATTAATCTTTTCAATTTGCTTAGTAAATTGCGCTGTTGATTTTGAGGATTGCTAGTAGAGCTTTTTGGTTTGGCAACAAAGTCTTTGAATTTATTTAGATAATTGTTTGGCAGTAACAATTGCACACGCCATCTCCTTATCCCTTCATTCCTTTTATTTACTCTATCTTATTTACTCTATCAAGATCAAATGTGCTGATTTAATTGGTGTTAAGTTCATGTTTTTAGACCTTTTTAATTCGATTGTTAGTTAATATTCTGGTTCGTGGTAATTTACTTATTCACCTTCTTAAGTTTTGATTCAATTATTCATTCAGTTAGCTTTCAGAATTTTAATTATTTGACATTTGATTCCTAACTAGCTTTGAACTTTTAAATTGTTTAATTAATTATTTTAATTACATGTTATTAAATTGTTCATCTACCAGGACTACGTGGTCTAATGGTATCCGGGTTGGGCTTCCAATTGGAAGATTATGAGTTCAAGCCTCAGTGGAGGCGTTATTGGTTCTTTGTGTTTCAGTAGGTTGAGAAAGTATATGAACAGATACTACAATGTAATAGAGCCAGTAACTTTCAAAAAAAAAAAATAAAAATTGTTCTCGAATTTATTTGATGTCTTGCTATTTCATCTTGAGGTTATTCAATTATTTTTTTCAGTCGTTATTTTCTTCTTGATAATTTAATTTAGTTAATCCATTCTGATTATCATTTATGTTTCCTTGACTTCAGATTATTATTAAGTGTTCTCATTCAATTTAATTTCGCTGCAATTCAAACTTTATTCTCTTTCCACTCTTTTTAACTAATTAAATTGCATCGTATCAATTCCCTGAGGGATCGACCCTTGCTTAAAGCACACTATAACTACAATCGACTCGTGCACTTGCGAGGACATATATTAAAATTGTCTAACAGACACCTTCTTCACACGTAGCAATACTATAGATAATCAGAATTAATAGCTGAAGTATCTCAATGTATACGCTTGTTAAAGTGCGCATAGAAATGCTAGACAAAGTAGCATTTTATAAAGGTAATGACATGCTTCTTCGACCAAACAACATGCAGCCCTTCACTCTGTTAGTGTTTTTAATTGTTCAAAAAACCCCATCTTATAATTGGCAATATTATTATGGCATACTAAGATAGGTTTAGCTTGTGTCTGTCCAGCTCTACAGACGTCTGATCAATCAAAAGCAACAACAGAAGGACTGACACTGAAGATCTGATTTAAGAAGGTATTGACTTAAAAGCTGTACGCGGTTTACAGGAGACATATTTGGAAGGAAGATCAACGTATCTGCTTTGGAAATGTATGGACCGAATCTTTAAGATTACTTTCTTCAAATATTGTCCTACCATCTACAATAAAAGACATCTTTGGAAGGAGTGTTCTATCGACGGATCTATAAGTACCATCATTCTAAGAGAATTAGGGTTACGCCTTACGCAAGAAGAAACACTCCACATATGCTATATGAGACTAGATCTTTGATTGTCATGCATCTTCTCAATACAACATGTTCATGGTGATTAAGATGATGAACTTGAGAAGAATCACTGCTGCTTAAACGAAAGGACACTGTGTTCACACTGTTGTGGGAACAACTGTATAGAGCGTCATTAAAGTGGACTGCATCAGAGTGGGCTCTCCAAGTGAAGGGATTTCATTGGACTTCTGTATGCATGGCTCTCCATCTTCAACAATCCACTAAACCTATGTAGACTGGGTATGCACCTTGTGTGGGGCACTTGGGTAAGATTATTATATATCTACCTTTGTACATTGGATTATGATTTAGTGGATTGGATGCCTATGTGATCGTCCCCCAGACGTAGATACACACTGTGTCGAACTGGGTAAACAATCTGTGTCTTTGGCTTTGGCTTTGTGTTTGTAACACCCCGTGTTACGACCCCTAAAACCAATTAATCATTTAACCAATTATCCAAAGAAAGAATTAAATTACAATAATTAAATTGGAAAAGGCCCACCATAGTCCGTGGGCCCGCTTCTCTAAACCCAACCCCTAGTCCTTAAAGGAATAGAGTTAGCAAGCCTATAGTATTTGGGCCCTAATTAGGACTCTTAGATATATAAATAGGGGACATAGGAGGCACCTAGAACCCCCCACCACAATAATCCCTCACCACACAAGAAGTTCCAAGAATTCCCTTAGAAGAAATCAAGAAAGAAGAAAGCTTAAAGAAAGACCCTTCATAGCCAAGGAATTAATAAAGGCTAAGAGGTAACCCATGTCTCAACAAAACCTATTTTCATAGCTATGATTACCCTCTTAGGATTTCCCCATATTCTTGTGTATTGATGATTCGTTATATTGTTCTTGACGATTGGTGTTATGATTCCATGGGCGATCTTGATAATCTTGTTGATGAAAAGGGATTCTTGATGATTGTGTGATTCTTGATGGAACCTAGTTTCTTGATGATTATGTGCCATTCTTGATTGTTCTTGATGTTTAAAGAGGAATCGTGTTCTTATTAAATTAGATGCGTCTAGAGCCCTAGGCCGTGTCGTGAAATTCGTATGGTGTTACTCTTGATGTATTGGGTGGGAATTCGCATGTTCGGGTATTAATTATGTTTAGAAAAGCATGATAGGATATGTGTCGTATGTTTCCTGCTTTTGATCCGTTAATTGTCTACGTGTTGTTATCAACTGCGATTGAAAGTGTCTAAGCATGGTTCCGGGTTCTACTAAGGTTCCCGGGGCGTTTTTGTGATGAAAGAGTCAGTGGGGGTAGGTGGGGGTAGGGGACCCGCCACCTACCCGCGGCCAACTTTGAAGTCGCCGGCAGCAGGCAGCCGGCGGGCAGGCGACTGCCCGCCGGGCACCCGCTGCCCGGAACCACGACGCCGGCGGGCAGCCGGCGGGTGACCCCTCACCCACCGGCTACCCGCTGGATTTTACCCCACTTTGGGATTCCGGCTTCCCCGTTTGATGTTCCCCCGACCCCCGTGGTGTCCCAACGGACTCCGTCTGTCGTGCCTATGTCTAGTTTGATGTTCGGGTACCATTCGTAGGTTGAATAAGTCCTATATATATTGCATGCTAGTTGAATTGGTATCCCGTTGGCCTAGGCGTAAGAAGTATGAACCCCTTAGGATTATTCTTAGTATGTGAATGATCACGCATAGGTTTCGTTATACGATTTCTTCCCCTCCCCAATGTGCCTATGTGGGTTGCATGTGTTTGCTATGTGTTATGTGTGCATGATACCCCAATTCGGTTGCGATCGAATTGGTTATTCCTGAGCTGCGGTTCAGAAGCTGGCTGCGGTCAGATTTACACTCTCGGGCTGCGGTCCACCGTTTGGTTGCGATCAAACGTTTTACATGAGCTGCGGTTCATATTCCTGGCTGCGGTCAGATGACTACTCTTGGGATGCGGTCCACTGTTTGGTTGCGATCAAACTATGATGAGCTGCGTTTGATCAGTCGGTTGCGATCGACCCCTCCGTGTTGCGATACGGGGCAGGGTGCTGCGGGGCAGTGTCAGAGCTATATGCGCTGACCCTCATGTATGGGCATGCGATTGGTCCTGTGGCGCCAACAAAGTGTGCTATGTGATGAGTTATGGATGGTTTGGTGTTATGATTGTTATGAAAACGTGACCATAGGATACATGCTAGTAAACTGTATACGCTTGGTTATGACTATTGACTGTGCTTATCACTATCTGTCGAATCTGTTCCCTACGCTTGTGAATTGTATATGCTTATGACTGTTGGTTGTGCTTATCCCTATCTGTCGAGTCTATTCCCTGTTTTGAAAGCTAGAGTCTCTTAGGATATATCTTCATGCTTCGAAATGGTTTTTCGTATATCTATGTATATATCTATATATA